CAGAATACTTTAGTTTTATGCGCCACTTCAAACAAGTCAAATCAGTCATCGAACAACTGAGAGTCAGGTACGGCAGTTTTTCTTGTCGATTTGGAAACATATTTAATCTATTAATTCAGCTCAGCGCGCAAAACCAAATGACGCCGCCGAATACTCAACATCAACAGCAATACTACGAAAATGAGGTTCTATCTGAATAAATGAGAAAATGGCTGGTACACATTTTGATGTAGTTCTATGTGCATCCGTCGCCAAATCAAAGTCAGTTCTACGCGACACCACCACCTATTCAAGCAGATCAACAGCAATCTTCCGAAAATCAGGTTTCATCTTAAAATGAACAGAAAATCATAGCTCAAAATTTTAATATAGTATTACGGGCACCCGAATCCAAATTCAAATCAATTCTTCGCGACACCGCTATCTACTCAAACATATCAACAGCAATTTTCCCAGGATCAGGTTGGTTAATTTGAACTTCATGACTCATACGAAGTTCAGTTTAGTTTTACGTGAATCCAACTGCTAATGAGCAGTACTACGACACGTCGCCGCAAATTCAACATACACATGAGACGTATGGAACCGAGGTATTATTTAAAAATATTTTGAACTCTCAAAGTGTTTTGTTAGTTTTACGAGCAACCGGCTCCAAACCAAGAATTCTATGCGACACAGCCGATAATTCAACAATATCCGCATCGCATTGCTGAAAACGAGGTTGTTGTTTGAAAATGACATTTTGCGTCGTATATGCAGTCTAATGTAGAACTACGTTCGGTCTCTACCTGTCCAGTCACTGCCGCACTCCACAAATAGAGAGCAGGTGAATTTTCTTTTTGATTTATGATTTTGAGAGACAAAATTATGCTTATAAAAAATAGTCACTCTACTAACAACCTTGCAGGCACCAGCGCCGCAAAATCAGCAGGAAAGTCTAGAAGTACAGCAGGAAGAAGTGCCATTGGCTTCTATCACTCCCACACTTCGTACAACACCTACTTTCAGGGGAGTCAGACAGGTAAGTCAGAAAGGTGTGCACAAAGTGATCGTTTACGAGATTCCCGGTGGATCACGGTCGTACACGTTCATGTTCAAACGGAAGAGCTCTCAACCAAACGTCGCAACATACATCTGCGCACAATGCAAAAAAGCAAACACCTACACCGCGGTCACGGTGAGTATGAAGAAACATCGGAACACTCCTCAAACTTGATTTAGGTAAGTGGAGATGACTTCATGCAAGATCCGACGATGCTGGCCCACGCTTGCATACCCGTCGAGAAAACGAAGGACAAAGCTGACAGGCTTTGTACAAGGTGAATTAAATTCAGTTTCCCACAAAGCAGATAGCGTCAATTTTCAAATTACAGTGCCTGCAAGAAGTACGCAAAGACCAAGAGG